TGTTGGACTTGATCATCTTCAAAGTCTTTTCCAAGCTAGTTCATTCTGTGGTCCTGTTTGCAAGTCTATGAGCTTCTGGCAGTGGAGGTCACTCCATCAGGAAGCATGGCACGTGGGGCTGCTGGAGGCTGTTTGGTTGAGAGGGAAAAATCAAGGGATAAAGCCTTATTTAGTTCTTATTTGCAATATATTATGAGGGAACAAGGCTTTGAGAGCGTGTGCATCCTCTCCTAAGGGTCCTGTAAGCAGTGTGTGGTTTTACATTGTAATGCAAAGCTGTGGTGTGTCCCAGAGTACACCGTGTCTCTTCCCATCTCAATGCAGCACTTCCTGGCTCCCTTCCCACCTCAGAAACCCATAGACTGGGCAAGCTGGAGTTGGCATTTTTGTGGGTCCCTCTTGCTGAAGTCACAACTCCATTGCATAAACCTCACCTTGCAAAGGGAAGACTCTACCTTGTGCTTGGGTTTACTTAGATAAAAGCTTCTTGGGTGACCTGATGGTGGTGAAAACACCAGCATCTCCTCTGGGTGGTCCCTTGTTTCCCTCTGAACATTTTATTCTGGCATAAGGAAAGCATCAAACTCAGCTAATTTAGACATAGTGAGAGCTGAGTGAAGGGCTTGTAGTTTTAATCATAGATTCATGGATTCCCAGCTTGAGGGACCTTAAGGATCATCTGCTCCAACCTTTCCAGGCACAGCCTGACCCAGACTGGATGCCCAGCACCCTGTGCAGCCCCATCTTAACAGTGTCCAGCACTGGGGAGTCACCACTTCCATGGGGACATTATTCCAATGGCCAAGTGTTCTCATTGGGAAAGTTTTCCTCTTGTGTCCATTGGGAATCTCCCAGCAGTAACTTGTGCCCATCACCCCTGGGCTTTCCCATGGGACTCCTTGTCCAAAGGGAGTCTCCATCTTCCCTGCAGCCCCCCTTTACCTCTGGCACATGGATCAGGTCTCCCTGTGCCTTCTCTTCTCCAGCTGAACAGTCCCAGCTCTCTCAGCCTTTCCTCACTGCTGCCCAGCCCTTGGAGCATCCTTGTGGCCCTTCTCTGGCCCCTCTCCAGCCCAGCCACATCCTTTTGTAGAGCAGGACCAAACCTAAGCACAGCATTCCAGGGGTGGCCTGACCAGCAGCAAATAGAGTGTATTAAATCCATACTTAACTGTTCCTATGTGAGAATGAAGTTATACTACTGTCTAGTTGGGGTTTCTTGCATTCTTATAGGTAGGAAGCTGTTAATCCTGGTCTACCAGCAGTATTATTTAGGTTACAATATATATGTATGCTTGTAAATAGTGTTCAACATCTTTCAAGTGCAGGCCTGACCTAACGCTGTGAAGTAGTTTTATGGCTTGTCTGCAGTGGAATGAAAGTCAAAACAGTTGTGGTTTGGAACAAACATTTGTTAAATATGAAGGCTACTATGTGTAGATAGAGGGGGGGGTTAATTCCTTGGATTGGCTTGGTACCTTGGATTGCAAACTCCTGTCTGATGCTTTGCAAGTCCAGTCAGGGATCTTGGAGCAGCTTGTTTATTGTAGTTAACAACTTAGTACAAACAGCACGCTTTACAACAGGGTACTAACACGAAGTACAGATGTTTATGGCATGCCTGGGCTGATGGTTGGTGCTGTTGTGTAACTCAGCCTAATTGGGAATTGCATAATGAGGTAAGACAGGAACGCAGCGAGGCTGGTCCTGTCCTGGGGAAGGCACATGGAAAGTCCTTGTAATGTAGTATCATAGAATAGTTTGGGTTGGAAGGGACCTTAAGCTCATCCAGTTCCAACCCCCTCCCATGGGCAGGGACACCTCACACTAAACCATGGCACCCTGTGCCAGTGCCTCAGCACCATCACAGTAAAGAACTTCTGCCTTATCTCCAACCTGAACTTCCCCTGTTTCAGTGTGAACCCATCACCCCTTGTCCTATCACTACAGTCCCTAATGAAGAGTCCCTCCCCAGCATCCTTGCAGCCCCCTTCAGACACTGGAAGCTGCTCTGAGGTCTCCACGCAGCTTCTCTTCTCCAGGCTCAACAGCCCCAATGTTCTCAGCCTGGCTCCATACAGGAGCTGCTCCAGCCCCTGAGCATCCTCGTGGCCTCCTCTGGACTTGCTCCAATAATGTCAGAATACAAAGATGAATTAGGAGATGGCACCTTACTGCACAAGCAGATGCATACACGGAGGCAGCTCAGCTTAGTAATATTCTAAAACAGGGAGTTTCTCTTTACAAGCTAGAACAAATGACTTATGTTGAGCTGCATGAAGTCCATCTATGAGAGTCCCACAAAACAAGCACAAGGAAAGGATGATGTGTCCACTTGATGCTGCAACTGAGTTGGAAGGATCTGCCTTTCAGATGGGGATGCTGATGTGTGGCTCCATCTTTGGCCTTTGTACTCATTCTGAAGCAGTGTTCTCTGAATCTCGGCTGCTGTACTGTGATGCAGATAACTGTATTTTACTCCTTCTCCTCTTTTTCTCAGCTCTGTGAACAGTATTCACAGCTCACATTAATCATTCACCTGAAGACCATTTGTGAGAAGTGAGAACTTCACTTGGCTAAGTGGCTTTGGCTTTTCCCATGGGAAATACTTCCCAAGCTCATCCATTCCTTGAGTCTCTGTACCTAATTATATGGGGGAGTGCATGCATGCACCAGTGCCCATAGGGAGATACCTTTTAAGTGACAAATTCCACTCTAAAAACTTACTGCTTTAAAGAATCACCTGTCTTCTAAAGGGAATTAAAAGCAATGCCCTCAAAAGTAGTTTTATTGTTTGAAACAGGTTTAAAGACATCCTTGCAGACAGCTTTCAAATGAAAACAGATCCATGTTTCAGGGTTTGCCTGAATGAAGGTTATAGTCGTTCATTTTCTGACTTATCTTCGTAATAGAGAGGTGATCTTGAAGTGCAGGAGCATGTCGAAAACAAGAAAACCACCGCTGTCAGTTCACCTCAGACAAGCTTTTGTACAGAGTAAGAATGTGAGTTGAGAGGGAGGAAAATCTGTGTAACACCAATTGGTGTTTGAATTCACAGTCATGGAAGGGTTGGGTTCCAGCAGCTCCACGTCCCTCCTGTGCTGCTGCCCCAGAGCTGGAGCAGGGCTGCAGGGGGGGTCTCCCCATAGCACAGCAGAGGGGCAGGATCCCCTCCCTGAGCTGCTGCTCACGCTCTTGGGGTGCAGCCCAGCACATGGGGGGGTTCTGGGCCAGGTCATGGGGAGCTTCTCCTCACCCAGCACCCCAAGTCCTTCTCCTCAGGCTGCTCCATCCGGTATCCCCCATCCTGTGTTTGTGCTGGGATTTCCCTGACCCAGGGGCAGGACCTTGCCCTTGGCTTGGTTGAACTCCATGAGGTTCATACAGTCCCACCTCTCCATCCTGTCCAGGTCCCTCTGGATCCCATCCCCTCCCTCCAGTGTCACCGCACCACACAGCTCGGTGGCATCAGCAGACCTGCTGAGGGTGCTGGATCCCACTGTCCATGGCACCAACAAATATGTTGAACAGGATCAGTCCCAACACCAACCCTTCACCAAGACATCACTGGTCTCCACTTGGACATCGAGCCGTTGACCACAACTCTTTGAGTGCAGCCATCCAGTTCCTTATCCACGAGTGGTCCATCCATCAAACCCACTGTACACATCCCCTACATAGTCTACTGTGCTTCAGGCACTAGAGAAGCAGCACTTCCCCTCTAATTTCTGCTTTAGACCCACCTATCTTAGGTGAGTTTGCTTGGTTTCACAGTGCTGTTAACTTGATGGGTCACTGCAGGTAGCAATGCAGTAGTAAAGTGCCTCTGATCCCTGTGGAAGGGGCTGGAAGGGTGAGGAAGGGCATGAAACTTCCCTGCTTGCTCAGTAACATGCTAAGAAGGAAGAACACTGTGAAAGGAAATGCAGGGAAGGCTCAAGGGTGGTTCAGTGGGTTCCTGTGGTTGCCTCCATCAGTGACTCACTAAAGGACTAAATCACTTGGTTTTTGTTCCTCTGGTGAGCAAGTGCAAGAGGAGGAGGAGGAGGAACAACAGGGTGATGATCATGATGACAATGGTCATAAATAACCTCGATTTTATTCCTATGTTTGCCCCCCACTTCCTTAATTGCTGTTTGGAATTCTGCTTTTCTTCTCTTTTACTCCTGGATTTCTTCATGCTACCCTTGCCCTTCCTCCTCTTTAGGCTGATAATAATTTGGATCAGGGTGGTGGTTTGCCATAAGTTAGGGAAAGCCTTGGCTCCAGCACCACAGGAGCATGCCAGGATGCTGAAGCGCACCCAGCTGTCAGAAAACCTGCATTTTCCTTCCGTTCCAGAGACAAAACTCATGGAGCTGTTCATTGCAATGGGAGACTTCATTCTGGAATTACTATAATACTCTTGTTTCCATAACGAATGAGCTTCCTGTGATCTCTGGGAAGTGCTGGTGGAAAAGAGCCACATTTTGGGGGTGCTGGGTGTGTGTATCACATTGGGTTTCCTTGCGTATCATAGCCCACGGCGAGGGGTTGGAACTGGATGTTCTTCAGGTCCTTTCCAACCCAAACCATTCTATGATTCTATGATAGGCAGTTTAGTCACCAGCTGAAAGAGGGCTGAAGTCCAGGGTATCCCTGATTTTAAAAGCCCTGTGAAATGTGGGGATTTGTCTGCTTTCTTGCCCTTTGGAAATGATCAGCACTAAACCAACCACTAGAACATGGGAGTAGAAACTCAGCATGAACTAATAGATGCTATTTTCATGGAATCATAGAATGATTTGGGTTGGAAGGGACCTGTGGGATCCTCCAGCTCCCACTGGTGAAGGTGGCTGTGCCTGTGCTTTTACATCTCTACAACACCATCCCCTGTCTCTTGGCTCACTCCCTATTCCTGCAGGCAAGGAAATGAAGAGCCAAACAAGTGATGTGAGGATGAGGCAATAACACATTGGGATCTTGAGAGGGCTCTGACTGGTGTCTGTGTGTTTCCTCAGATAATAAAGCTGAAAGCAGAGGCTCGTCTGGACCTGCTGAAGCAGATCGGGGTGTCCGTGGATACGTGGCTGAAGAGCGCCATGAACCAAGTGATGGAAGAACTGGAAAACGAGCGCTGGGCCAGCCTGCCCTCAGTGACCAACAATGGCTCTTCACACCTGGTATGGCCTCCATACTCTCAACCTCACCTTGGTTCCATGTGGCTCTTTCCTAGTTGCAATTCCTAACTTAATATTGAATAAACCCCCAAATTCATCATAAATCATTGAATCAAGGAAGGGTTTGGGTTGGAAGGGACCTTAAAGCTCCTCCAGCCCCAACCCCTTCCACGGGCAGGGACCCCTTCCACTGGAGCAGCTTGCTCCAAGCCCCTGTGTCCAACCTGGCCTTGAGCACTGCCAGGGATGGGGCAGCCACAGCTTCTCTGGGCACCCTGTGCCAGCGCCTCAGCACCCTCACAGGGAAGAGCTTCTGCCTAAGAGCTCAGCTCAGTCTCCCCTCGGGCAGGTTCAAGCCATTCCCCTTGGCCTGGCCCTACAGGCCCTTGTCCCAAGCCCCTCTCCAGCTTTCCTGCAGCCCCTTTAGGCACTGGAGCTGCTCTAAGGTCTCCCCTTCAGGAGCCTTCTCTTCTCCAGGCTGCCCCAGCCCAGCTCTCTCAGCCTGGCTCCAGAGCAGAGCTGCTCCAGCCCTCGCAGCAGCTCCATGGCCTCCTCTGGAGCTGCCAGTACCAACAAGGAGAAGAGAAACTGCTGTAAGACCTCACAATACATTTATTTTCTCTCATCCCTTCCATGGCCGGCGATGCTGAGCTGTCACCTTTGGCACTAGAACCAAACCCATGTGTTCCTCTTCACCAGTAACCAAGCAAAATAAAATTCCTGAAGGTTTGGTCAATTTGCCTCAAATAAATCTTAACTTTTCTGGTTTTCATACTTTTAATATTTAACAAAATTCAGAGGCTTTTGCAAAGTCTTGGTTTTCATGTGGATACTTTCCTAACTATAGCCTTCATACCGGGTTAAAACTACTTCATTTATACTTTATCTCCCCTTCAGATTAATCTTCATCTTTGGACACCCAGAATGTGTCTTCTGGAGAGCAGAACTTGCAGGGGGAGCAGGGATGTGGTTTTTCTTTGCACTGCAGATGATTTGCTTCCTTTTGCTGCCCACCTAAAAGAAACATCTCCCTTTCAGCAAGAATGTGGAATCTGCACACACAAATTCCTGCTCATTCCCATGTTTCTTTGGTGTCTTCTTGGTAATGGTGGCAAAGACATAGAGGGAAAAAGGGGGTTTGGATGTAGAGGTGTTATCATCTATGTCAGCTTTAGCTCAAAGAAGTGGGCACTGAATGGAGTCTGAGCACATGCTTCCCAAATCCTCTCTGTGCTGTCTTGAGGCTGTTGGGATGTTTCTCCAGGGACCCTGTACAGAACTCACACACAGTGACAGTGATATGCAGGAAAGGTTGTTGTAGGCACTCCTCAGTGTAGTCTGTCTCTGCTTTATTCCCATGGTTAGTGGTATAATTAGAGATTAAAGCTGTAGTATGCAGATCCATGCTCCAGTCTTCCCAAATCCCAAAGGAGTTCTTGTGCTGAGATTCCTTTCAGATCCTTTCTACATGAGGAGATGTTACATAGCTCTGTTCAATAGTGCCTTTTTCCCCTTTCTTCTTGTACTCCACCTCCTTCACTTCCCCTCGTGCACGTTGGAATGTGCCCATTGCCTTGTTCTCTGTCTCATCACACATGCCAAGAGCCAGCCCTGGAGCCAAGCCCTGCGCTAGTCCCTGGTGAGCCAGCAGATGCCACAGAGTGGGAGGCTAAACTCTGAGCCTTCTTTTCCCCTTTGACACTGACGTATGCTCCTGTGTGAAACCAAGGATGCTGTTGACCTTGGCAGGCAGCTGGGGACAGCAGGAGATGGAATTCTGAGAAGGCCAAAGACCAGAATTACGCTGCTTGCAGTTATTAGAGGAATTACTGCAGCGTGTCACAAGCAGCAGTTTCACTTCAGCCTTGAAGAGGGAGCAGTGTTCACTGCTCAGAAACCAGGAACCCCCCTCCTGTATGTGGTACCCAGCTCTTGCTCTTTGATCCAGTGCTGGCCAAGAGAGTTTGTTCAGCAAAGCTCTCCATGTATTTCCTTGTAAACAGTGAAAAGGAGAAAGGAAGGTCAATGCCTGCATTACTACAGTAATGTAATGAGCTGAAGAAGTTGATATCCCATTCCCTCTCCAGTGGGGTGATTTTGTGATAGAATCATAGATCCACAGACTGGTTTGGGTTCAAGGGACCTTAAAGCTCCTCCAGCTCCAACCCCTTCCACTGGAGCAGCTTGCTCCAAGCCCCTGTGTCCAACCTGGCCTTGAACACTGCCAGGGATGGGGCAGCCACAGCTTCTCTGGGCACCCTGTGCCAGCGCCTCAGCACCCTCACAGGGAAGAGCTTCTGCCTAAGAGCTCAGCTCAGTCTCCCCTCAAGCAGGTTCAAGCCATTCTTGGGCTGCATCAAAAGGAGCGTGACCAGCAGGGCGAACGAGGTGATCCTGCCCCTTTATTCTGCTCTCGTGAGACCTCACTTGCAGCACTGGGTGCAGTTCTGGTGTCCTCAACATAAAAAGGACATGGATCTGTTGGAGCAAGTCCAGAGGAAGCCACGAGGATGCTCAGGGGCTGGAGCAGCTCCTGTATGGAGCCAGGCTGAGAACACTGGGGCTGTTGAGCCTGGAGAAGAGAAGCTGCGTGGAGACCTCAGAGCAGCTTCCAGTGTCTGAAGGGGGCCTATAGGGATGCTGGGGATGGACTCTTCATTAGGGACTGCAGTGATAGGACAAGGGGTAATGGGTTAAAACTTAAACAGGGGAAGTTTAGATTGGATATAAGGAGGAAATTCTTTCCTGTGAGGGTGCTGAGGCACTGGAATGGGTTGTCCAGGGAGGTTGTGAATGCTCCATCCCTGGCAGTGTTCAAGGCCAGGTTGGACGAGGTCTTGGGTAATATGGTTTAGAGCGAGGTGTCCCTGCCCATGGCAGGGGGGTTGGAACTGGATGATCTTAAGGTCCTTTCCAACCCTAACTATTCTATGATTCTATGATTCCCCTTGGCCTGGCCCTACAGGCCCTTGTCCCAAGCCCCTCTCCAGGTTTCCTGCAGCCCCTTTAGGCACTGGAGCTGCTCTAAGGTCTCCCTGGAGCTAAAATCATCTGTGTCAGCAGCAATTATAGGATCATAGAATCATGTAGGCTAGAAAAGACCTTTAAGTCCATATATATATGTGTGTGTGTGTGTGTGTATGATGATCTTGATCTTATATACGTTTTCATACCTTTTTTCATATGTATAATCAAACTATCTCATCACTTTCTACCTTCATTTATTCTTGTCTGTGCTGTCTCATACCTTCAGTGTAACTGTCTCATGTATTTATTCTTTGCCTGTGCTGTCTTTCATCACTAATGTGTTGAAAGATGAGTTTTAGGAAACAAGCTGCTTCATTTTCTGTGTCATTGATGCTGCTTTCCCTCTATGCAAACAAATCCATTCAAGGAGGTTGAGCAGCCCCCACACTGAAAATGAAAATGTCATTTTCTGCCTCGTGTTAGGAAACCAGGAGCAGATGTTTTCTGAAAGACTCTTTCTAGACACGATACACTCGTTTCCATGATGTTTCTTGTGGCTGTCAGCTGGATCAGCTCCTGCTGCTGGGACATAGACCATGCACAGCAAAAGGCAGTTAGAAACCAGAGAGGGAAACCTTACATTTGCCATAGTTTTCTGCTTAGTTGGGAATACATCAAAGCAGAGATTTGCTGTTACAGCAGCATCCATCAACACATTCAAGTAGCAACAAATCAAGCCTGAATCATAGGATCAGATAGGTTGGAAAAGAACTTCAAGTCCAGCCTTTACCCAGCATTGCCAAGTCCATCACTAAACCATGTCACTAAAGGCCTCATTGAAAATGTGAGGGGAAAATAATCATCTGAAGGACCAGATTTTAGTCTAAAAACTGAAACATTACAGATTCATCTGAGTTGGGAAATGGTGAAGTTTTATGCTTTTCCAGCCCAGGTCTAGAAGAGCAAAGATGCTTCAAAGCAAAGGTACAGCATCACCTGGTTTAGGGAGGCTGCCTTTAGTCTCAGCCTAACTTTGTGCTGATTTATGAGCCCTCCGTGAGGAATACCAAATGCACTCCCCAATCTAAAGGAATATATAAAGGGAAGATGGCAAATACAAATACCCCACAGCGTTGCCTTTGGTTGGAAGGACTGGCCTGCTTTCACATGAGAGGAAAGTGTTCATTGAGGATGTCATCCAGGCAGGAGGCCAAAGCAGAGCTCATGGCACTGCTGCCCCAGCTACCCTTATGGACACTTGGATTTTTCCAGTGTCTCAAGGTTCTGTTTCAGCTTTTACCCTTAGTTTTTAATGATTCTTTCTCTAAGGATTGTTGCTTCTTGCCCCAAGCCCATTGTGCAGAACACACCAGTGAGAAGCCGACTTTTCAACTCTTCAGCTCTTATTTTTGTGACTTCCACGTATTTCCATTGAGGCTTCACTTCAGACTCCTCCTCACAAGCACATTCAGCTTTAGTAGCAGAATCTCTCCGTCAGTGACTCCTTTTCCCATTCAACTCTTTGCTGTGCCTCTCAAATTGCATCTCTAAAGGACGTGAGTCCCTGTTTATAGCTTATAGGGAATAAATAACTGCCCATCAGTGTGGCTGGAGCTTCCAAAGTCTTCTCTGCTTCTTTTTAAATCCACAGTGCTTGAATGAGGGAATACATCTGAGTTAGGCAAAGATGGTGGCAGCTCTTACTCTTTTCTTTCCCTGTATTTGCTTTATTTGATGACTTTCCTCACATTATTTGGGAATCCTGTTGGATATTATTTAGTCATTGGGTTTTTTGTCCAGTTTGAATGATCATAAATAGTAAAAAACACACTGAAAGATAATGATCAATTCGTTTCCATTGTTATTCCCTTTTCATTTGAGGGTCTGATGCCAAATTGCATTTGTTTTAACAGGGAAATGCTGATGCAGAGAAGGAAGAAGGTGAAGAGTTTGAAGACAGCATGGACGTGTTTGATGACAGTAGTTCTAGTCCTTCTGGTACTCTAAGGAATTACCCTCTCACCTGCAAAGTTGTTTATTCATACAAGGTTTGTGAGTTACCTTTTTTGTGTTGATTTGATCAGAAAACTGAATTCTGCAGCAAACGTAATAGATGTAACTGTGCTTATGGGACTTGAATAGGATCACCACAGAGTAATAGACTGGTTTGGGTTGAAAGGACCTTAAAGCTCATCCAGTTCCAACCCCCTGCCATAGGCAGGGACACCTTCCACTAGAGCAGCTTGCTCCAAGCCCCATCTGGTGTCAGTGTGAGTCAGTAATTAAATATAGCTAGCTCCTAGTTGTGAATATCTGCAGCAGTAAATTCCATGCCCTTGTGAAACACATTTAAACTACACTTCAGCACAGTCCTGACGTCTGTTCCCTATTTGCAGCTTGCAGAGATGTCCCTGCCTGGCTTCAGGGCCAGCAGCTGCGTGTCTGCTGTTCCAACCTGTTGTAATTCCTGTTGCTGAGCCGCTGGGGCTGTAGTAGAGATGCCTTCTCAGTGTCAGGCTGCATGACAAAGCTCCTCTTTGTCCTGTAATAGTGAAACCACCATTCATGAGTTCAGGCTTTGCTGACAAACTGCATTCAAGCTGTTTACGTCTGCTAGCACTGCTAGGTCAGTTGTAAATCACACCACTGTGGAGCCAAAGCCAGTGGCAGACGTGGAGCTAGAGTACAGAGTAATTAGAGATCCCAGAGTAAATAGGGTTTGACATGCTGATGCTGTTCAGGGTGCTTCTGTCTATCCTAAATGAAACAGGGCCTTGTGAGCATCAGTAAATGTGTAGAAGAACACTTATACTGTGTTTTAAACTATGCTATATCATGGAATTTTCAACATCAGCTTTAACAAAAGTCTGGATGAGAATGTTCTTTACACTACCTGGCCTGCACACCTTGATTTTCTAATCTTCTTGTAATATACTTCAGGCTTCTCAGCCAGATGAATTGACCATAGAGGAACATGAAGTGTTGGAGGTTATTGAAGATGGAGATATGGAAGACTGGGTAAAGGTATTGGTTTTTTGAGATTGCTTTCTTTTCATAGAGTCATAGAATAGTTAGGGTTGGAAAGGACCTTAAGATCACCCAGTTCCAACCCCCCTGCCGTGGACAGGGACACCTCGCTCTAAACCATATCACCCAAGGCTCTGTCCAACCTGGCTTTGAACACTGCCAGGGATGGAGCATTCACAGCTTCCTTGGGCAACCCATTCCAGTGCCTCAGCACCCTCACAGTAAAGAACTTCTTCCTTATCTCCAATCTAAACTTCCCCTGTTTCAGTCTGAACCCATCACCCCTTGTCCTATCACTGCAGTCCCTGATGAAGAGTCCCTCTCCAGCATCCTTGTAGCCCCCTTCAGACACTGGAAGCTGCTCTGAGGTCTCCACGCAGCTTCTGTCCTCCAGGCTCAACAGCCCCAATGTTCTCAGCCTGGCTCCATACAGGAGCTGCTCCAGCCCCTGAGCATCCTCGTGGCCTTCTCTGGACTTGTTCCAACAGCTCCATGTCCTTTTTATGTTGAGGACACCAGAACCGTACACAGTGCTGCAAGTGAGATCTCACGAGAACAGAGCAGAGGGGCAGGATCACCTCCTTCGACCTGCTGGTCACACTCCTTTTGATGCAGCCCAGGATACAGTTGGCTTTCTGGGCTGCAAGGGCACACTGCTGGCTCATGTTCATAGAGTCATAATAGAATGGTTTGGGTTGGAAAGACCTTAGAGCTCAGTTCCAACCCAGGGAAGAGCGTCTGCCTAAGAGCTCAGCTCAGTCTCCCCTCGAGCAGGTTCAAGCCATTCCCCTTGGCCTGTCCCTACAGGCCCTTGTCCCAAGCCCCTCTCCAGCTTTCCTGCAGCCCCTTTAGGCACTGGAGCTGCTCTCAGGTCTCCCCTTCAGGAGCCTTCTCTTCTCCAGGCTGCCCCAGCCCAGCTCTCTCAGCCTGGCTCCAGAGCAGAGCTGCTCCAGCCCTCGCAGCAGCTCCATGGCCTCCTCTGGCCTCGCTCCAACAGCTCCACGTCCCTCTTGTGCTGCTGCCCCAGAGCTGGATCAGGGCTGCAGGGGGGGTCTCCCCTTCACACAGCAGAGGGGCAGGATCCCCTCCCTGAGCTGCTGCTCACGCTCTGGGGGTGCAGCCCAGCACACGGGGGGGGTTCTGGGCTCAAGCGCTCACTGAAGCTGGGTCATGGGGAGCTTCTCCTCACTCAGCACCCCAAGTCCTTCTCCTCAGGCTGCTCTCAATAATTTCACTGTGACTTTCAAAGGCAGAACTCGGGACAGGAGAAACATTTGGACTCTTTTCAGAGCCATAAGCTAAAGCAGAGAATATTTTATGCCCCTCTTTTCACAGGCACGGAATAAAGCGGGTCATGTGGGGTATGTGCCAGAGAAGTACCTGCAGTTCCCAACGTCCAGCAGTCTGCTGAGCATGCTGCAGTCCCTCGCCGCACTGGATAACAGATCACACACCTCAAATAACTCCACGGAGGCTGACTTGGTCTCAGGAACCCTGAATGGAGACTCCAGTGGTAAATACCAATAAAAAACTAAACTCTGTATCAACCTCGTTCTCAAAGGATTCTGCATGTTGAGGTTGGATGCTGCGTATGAGAATGTCTCCTGTTTGACCAGTTTCTGAGTACAACTCTTCTCAGTATTTATCTCTCTCATATCAAACCTGCATAATTTATCTGTCTCTCAGAGTTGAGATTAACTAAAATTAAGGAAAACCAGAATCAGAATCCCAGCCTGATTTGTGTTGGAAAGGACCTCAAAGCTCATCCAGTCCCAACCCCTGCCACAGGCAGGGACCCCTTCCACTGGAGCAGCTTGCTCCAAGCCCCTGTGTCCAACCTGGCCTTGAGCACTGCCAGGGATGGGGCAGCCACAGCTTCTCTGGGCACCCTGTGCCTGCGCCTCAGCACCCTCACAGGGAAGAGCTTCTGCCTAAGAGCTCAGCTCAGTCTCCCCTCGGGCAGGTTCAAGCCATTCCCCTTGGCCTGGCCCTACAGGCCCTTGTCCCAAGCCCCTCTCCAGCTTTTCTGCAGCCCCTTTAGGCACTGGAGCTGCTCTAAGGTCTCCATGGATCCAAAACCATTTGATTCAGCAATTATAGAATGCTGTTGCTTGGAAAACCCCTTTAAAATCATTAAGTCCAACCTTAAATGTATGTATAGTGTTGGGTTTTTTATGCCTGTGCCAATTATGCTTTTATTCTTTCTCTTCCATCCTTCAGTGTGTTTTGTGAAAGCACTTTATGATTACGAGGGCCAGACGGATGACGAGCTGTCCTTTCCGGAAGGAGCCATCATCCGCATCTTGAACAAGGAAAATCAGGATGATGATGGCTTTTGGGAAGGAGAATTCAACGGGCGCGTTGGGGTCTTCCCATCAGTGTTAGTTGAGGAGCTGACGGCCTCAGAAAACGGAGAGACTCCGTGGATTGGAGATATTCAGGTAGGTAAAGAGTTGAGGGGTTGGATTGAACGTGGGGTATGAGTTTGTTAGGGTGGGTTTGCGATGCTCAAAGCTTTGCTGCTTCTGGAGGGGAAAAAAACCCAAATTGGGACCAGTTTAAGAAAGAAACCCCATAAATAATACAAGCAAAATAAATCAGAACCAATATAAGGAAAAACAATCAAATCAGAACCAGGTTAAAAGGAAAAACCCAAACCCTGAGTGCTTCACTTTGGGTTTCTTTCCCAACCTAATAGTGCCCAACTGATGTATTTTAGCAAGTGTAATGGATTTGTGGATAAAGGCAAGTTTTTGGGTGGAAAGGGAATGAAGCCAAGGAGGAAATTCCCAGTCTACTTCCTGTAAGGAATTTATGGCATTGACTGAGACATCAAATGCAAGCTGTCTCTCTCAGCCCTCATTTGATGTTTTCATACTGAAGTCTGTTCTGTATCCTCTCAGTCTGGAAGGACAGAGTGCTGTCAAAAGTGAATTGCAGTGATTTTTGCCAAAATAGCCTCATATTTTATTCTTAATACTAGAAAATCAGACACTTTCTCCTGTGTAATTGGGCTAGAAACTGGATTTTTGTCTTCCCTACAAGGTAATTTCTCTGCTACTTTTATCTTTTGATTGGGGCAGACCATGAAAACTTCACTTTTACATGATGCATATGATAAAACTCACAATCTTGAAGCTTTTGTGTGAGAGGCACACTTGGCCAAGTGACTTTGCAGCTGACCTTCCCAGCGTCTGAATTACCTGGGAGAGGATGGAAATCTCTGCTCAGTGGCAACCTGTGATTTAACACACATGCAATCACTGTTGGATATCCTGGTTTTCCTCCTCAAAACCCTGCCTCACAGCACTTTTGAACACGTAGTTTACCTCCAGGTGAAAGCTCTTGTGTACTGATGTGTCAGTTCTAGTGGAGGGATGTGTCAAGACAACTGGCTGTGCCTGGAGGGGTAGATAAAAGCTGTTGAGGAGTGAGGTTTGCTGCAACCCCTGTCTCCTCTTCCCACAGGTATCCCCAACTCCAAAGCCTAACCATGCCCTTCCACCGCTGCCCCTGTACGACCAGCCTCCCACTAGCCCCTACCACAGTCCGGATAAACGAGATTCTCAGTACTTCCCCAGATCACCCTCAACTAATGGTAAGAGATCTGAGGATGGCCAAAGAAACAGTTCAGCAAGATGCTGAGGGGTTAAAAGTGAAACAGGGGAAGTTTAGGTTGGATCTAAGGAAGAAGTTCTTTACTGTGAGGGTGCTGAGGCACTGGAATGGGTTGCCCAGGGAGGCTGTGAATGCTCCATCCCTGGCAGTGTTCAAGGCCAGGTTGGACAGAGCCTTGGGTGCCATGGTTTAGTGTGAGGTGTCCCTGCCCATGGCACGGGTTGGAACTGGATGAACTTAAGGTCCTTTCCAACCCAAACCATTCTATGATTCTCTGTTTAATTTTGAATGGTCCTGTTTCATAGTGGGGGGGGGGAAGAAGCTTTTTTGCCACCTGAAGTTCATTCAGTGACATTGAGGGGCTTGGTTTTGATGGGTTGTTCCTTCCCCCTTCAGAAAACAGCTTCAGCTCAGAGTCCCCTGGATTCTCCCAGCCTCCACGAGTTCCTCCTGAAAGTTCCTATGGAAAACTGCGACCTGTGAGTTAAAACCAAAGACTGATGTTCTCTTGAAGGTGTAAAGCCAAGTTTAGGTGAAGCAGGATGGGTGTGTTCAAAGCAGGGGGGTGATGCAGCACTGATGATCTGGCTCTCCGTGTTCTGGGGATAAAATTACTATGTATTAAAGCGTGTTATCTCAGATGAAGACTGCAGGGGAAGGTCTGTTGACTCCCCTTTGATAACACCAAAGCTGTGTCCAAAAGCTGGAGGACACAAGAGCTCTTTGAGATGAAGTAAATGCCAGAACAGAACAAAGCTGCACTTGTTTAAGCACTTCCTCATTGTGTTTAAAGATGCCCTTGAATCTTACCCATCCCTTCTCCTTCACCTAAGCTGCTCTTCCTCCTCTGCCTTTAGAGTTGTAATACCTCTGTGTCTCTGCATGAGACATGTAGATTGTGAAATCTAACCTGTGGGGAAATTACATCTATAGTGAGAGCAAAATAGGTGGTAGGCAATAAACTCAGAGTGCCTTTGCAGGCATTGGGAGGTTATTTCTGGCCTTGACACATAGAATAACCCCTGAACAGAGCTAGAAAAGGGGGTGAATAGATGCCAGAACCATTTAATTCTATCATTTGTACAATCCTCCTCCAGTGTGCCAGCAGGCACATCTGCTTGCCAGCAGTCTGAGGTAATGTGTGGACTCCATTGCATTCCAAACCCCTTGATTTGAGAGGTTTGGATTTAAAGGTCTGAATTATAACATCTATACACTCTGTTTTGTCTTTGCTCCCTCAAAAGAGAGTGAAAAGGAAAGGAAGAATTTAATCCCTTTAGGACTTGCAAACTCCATCTCCTAGGGTTAACTTCGAAATCAAGGTTGGGATGGTTTCAAAGTCCTAAATCAAATCATATTCAGTTGTATTGTCCTGGCATCCTCAACAGTTGCACAAAAAAGAGCATTTTGGGCTATTCATAAGTTATATCCTCATCATTCCAGCTAGTCAGTGAGTTACCTTTATCCACAAGGCAGAGGTAATGCTGCATCATTTAGCATTTAGCTATTCAATTGAGAAGTTTCATGTTCCCTTGCAAAAAGATGCTGATTCAGCTTTCCCACGTAATAGCTTTATATTTCATGAGTTTCTTGCAGTTTAGTGTCTTTTCAGGATATTACTCCAGTGTCATGCCTTAATTGAAAGGATCTCTGTTAGTTTTGCATTTTAAATATGCCTGGTTTGAAAATACTGTGTAGTTTATTACGTTATTGCTCCACAATTTATGTTTTCCATAGCAAGTCATTCCAGTGTATTCTGCAATCACGTGCCAAAACTCCTGCCTGCAATGCTGTTAGCACTTAAGATAAGCTCTGTCAGGAGCAGTAATAACTTTATTGATGTGGCAGAGTGTAAATATAGCATCAGATTTCAGGTGTGTATTGTTCAGGTCAGGGATTGAGTAAATACCAATAAGCCACTTAGATGCAACAAGACGTTGTTGTAGCTCCCAGTCCATGTGAGTTCCAGGCAAGGGCATCATCAGGTTTCAGCATTTGATGTAAGATCCAAAGTGTATCCCAGGTTTAGGTACTGAATTATCCATGGGTGCATGCAGAATAAGTGGGATACTTCACTGTTGGGAGTGCTAGTTATCCTGGAGGAAAACCACCTAAGAGTAATGACAAGTTATAGAGGAGAGCCTTGATGGCTTAACTGGGGATAACTGGACCTGAATTCACCTGGTTTCTTGCTGTACTTCTGTTGATCTTCATATATAACCTGTACCTTTGCTTCATCTGGAGGTATGAGCCTAAAATTGCTGGTTTAGTCTATACAAGCTCTGAAATACTCTGATAGTTACAGGCTGGTTCTGGCTGTTTCAGGTACGAGCAGCTCCACCACCCCCAACACAGCATCACCGCCGGACCACAGAGAAGATAGAGGACGTGGAAATCACCCTGGTGTAACGATGGGACTAGTTAAGTAGTAGTGCTACAATCAAGACCAAACGTGATATTTGGTCGAATCTCAGTTTTTAGGCACCTTTGCATGATGAAGACTTTGACTAGAACAAGAGATAGGGAGGATTTTATGTGGCAGTGACCTGGTGGACTCCTTCCCGCAGTCATGACTCTTTCGTGCCTTTTGAGTTTGTTGCTTTGATTTATATACATCATTCTTCCTCTCTTAGCACAAAGCAAGACAGGCCAAACAGCGAGCAGAGGATTGCCTTGGAGCAGGTTTCTCTCTTGGCTGAAGATGGTCAGTTTTTATACGGAGGCTGAAGAGAAAGAGCCTCCTTCATGCAACTTAGTCATAACGTCCTTCGACCACGTGCATTAGTACAGTATATTACTGTTGCCATAGGAATGTGTTAAAAGATTGTCAATTCTCCAAGTAGCATTCACTTTGTCTGATTAGGGATTAATCAGATTTGCAGAACGAAAAGAAAGGGAACTGAAAGAAGTATAAACAGAGGCTGGCTCCTCTTCAATCCCCTTGCAGAAAGGAAGAAACAGGCAAAGAATCTTCTAGATGAGGCAAACTGATGCAGACCATACGTTAATGCACACCTCTTCAATGATGAACAGTTCAGCTGTTACGTCCTTCGTATTCGTATTTATGCAGTACATTTAGGAATAGAGTATCTAATATGGAGGTGCTGAATTAGTAGCAACATCTTGTTCCATAGCATAAACCAACTGGTAGAAAAGTTAAGTGAGGTTTTTGTCTAGATCTGGAAATTGAGCTTCTTTTTTTCTTTTCTTAGCAGATTTTGGGGGGTTTATGGTTTGGGTTCTTGTTGCCCAAGTATTTGGTCACTCTTCTCCCAGTTATTGCCGTGTGCTTTATTATCCATCGTTAGCAGTGTATCTTTGGCATCAGAACATCTTAGGAGTTACGTTTAGAGTATTTACATGCATTAGTTAGTTTTGGCATTGGATGGTCCTATAGCATATTCCCACATGGACACCCATTCATTAGCCAAAGCCAGGGAGCCAGGAGAACCTCTGGCTCCTGTGAAGCCTTCAGGCCACCGTGGTGGCCAAGACCACAGTTTTCAATTGCTCTTATAGGCAAGAAATAGAGAGTAAAAGAACTTCCCAACCAATTCTCGAATGAGATCTCTGAAAAAGGAACCTTTTTGTTCTTGAAATGGTCGGAGGAGAGGGGAAAACTGGAGGAAAAGGGGTTTTCTTTATGAGCTCGATGATTTTCAGCAATCTCCATCAGATCAAAGGCATCATCCCAAGGCAGGGGTTTCTCAGCTGTTGTAGGGGTTCTGTTGCTTTTGTGTCTTCATTTTCTTTCCTAAGCCAGTATGTTCTCTACCTTTACTTTATTAACAAGGGCTATTTTTTGAGGCTGCATTTACAGAAAACAGAGAAAAAAGCAACCCACCTCACTGGGTTTTACCATACCCTTCGCACATACTTGTCAATCCCAACCCAGGCTGTTTGCCAATCTCCTTTCCCAGTGGGATCTCGAACCTAGAGCGGAGCTGGTTGAAGAAACCCAGTCATGGATCAGTGCTGAGATCAGTGCCTATCCAATGAAGTCTTTCCCATACGCGTCGTTCTTTTGCACCTCTTGTCCTGTTGATCTGTTTGAGGTCTTTTTATGTGTTTTATCAAACTTATTCTTAAGTTTAAAGAAGAAAAAGAAGTTTTTAAAGAGAAAAAGGATTTAACTGTTTGCAAACCATTTGGAAAGCTTCACCAAGCAGAAGAACAACTATTGCCATCGTAACGTTCACCTTCGCTTTCTTTGGCCAGTTTTTCCTTGCGTCCTTCATCCCTGGACTTTCCAAACAGCAGAAAGCGTTATTTAAAGTCTCTTTTAGTTGTATTTTAAGATATTTTCTGTAAGAGCTGCTAATTTTATTTAAAAAAGAAAAACAGACAAAAAAAAAAAAAGGAAGAGAAGTTGTACAAAGACGCCTCCTTTTTACCTATGATTTCTTCATACAGGGCATGTATTGGACGTCTCATCGTGTACAGCGTCAGTACACTGAAAGCATAGGTGCAAGATGCTTTCTTTATATGGGCTGTAAAAAGTTTGTATTTATTATGTATAAAAAGTTGAATAATAAAAAAGTGGAAGTAAATCCATGACGCAGGAACCGTTACACAAGGTTTGGGCATCGATCCAAGGGGAAAACCAGGAATTTGGGGACGAAAATGGACATTTTCTTGGCTGTTGCTTCTGTGATTTATGCTTTTACGTAGAAAAGTGAATCTTCTGCTCAGAAAAACCCTTTTGCACCACTTAGAGTGGTCTTTCACCATCCCTTTAAGGTGGTATTTATATGAGGGACTAAAATGATGCCCTAAATGAAGAGCCTGTAACAAAGCTCCACTTAGCAAAAGAATTGTTCAATTGCCTTGATGCAATTAGGGTAATTGCATAACGAAAGAGAGGGATTGATGATAACTCTTCACTGTGATTGTCCTTTAATAGGCTTGATTCGCCTAATTGTGTGAGGAGAATTCCTGCTGCATCCAAAGCCCTCGAGCATTAGGGTCCCTTTTTTTTCCCTACATCCCTTATCCCAAGCCCCTCTCCAGCTTTCCTGCAGCCTCTTTAGGCACTGGAGCTGCTCTAAGGTCTCCCCTTCAGGAGCCTTCTCTTCTCCGATGGCTGTGCTTCCCACATTGTCAAAAGGGAAAATGAGAATTTGATGGAAGTGATGGGGATTTGTGATAAAATTCACTACATATTAATTGTGCCAGGGTTTCTGTCTGTTTGTTCCATGGGAATGTTTAAAGGAACCCAGGCACGCGGGTGACTTCTTCCCATATAGCACAGGTATCTCTCACTGTTAATAGCAATTCAAAAGGAAAACAAACCCCTCACCTTCTTCTCCACATAAAGGATCTTTTGCTTCTCTGCATAGAACAGAGCACTGGCTACTCTGCAACACATGCAGATCTCAGCATGGCAGATAGCTCCCTTATAGAATCATAGAATAGTCAGGGTTGGAAAGGACCTTAAGATCATCCAGTTCCAACCCCCTGCCATGGGCAGGGACACCTCACACTAAACCATGGCACCCAAGGCCTCGTCCAACCTGGTCTTGAACACCACCAGTGATTCACAGCCTCCCTGGGCAACCCAATCCAGTGCCTCAGCACCCTCACAGGAAAGAATTTCCTCCTTATATCCAATCTAAACTTCCCCTGTTTCAGTCTGAACCCATCACCCCTTGTCCTACCACTGCAGTCCCTAATGAAGAGTCCACCCTTCTTCATGTGGATCTCCCCAGGAAGCCTGGGAGAGGAGCTGCTGCCATGGAAAGAGCCCTTTCCTCCTGTGTCCTCTCTGTTGGCACATCTGCCCTGCATAAGACTGATGGGAGGGATGGGGGGAGTAGCTGCTCCCTCTATCCTGCATCAAGAGCTGAGCTCGGGGATGCTGAGACTTCAGTTCCAGACACGGGGAGGATGGAGAAAGGGGTAAAAGGAAAGGAAACATCACAGAACTCAGGGATGCAGCACAGAAGAACGCAGCTGGGAAGATGCTGACGTGCTCACTGTACCGAGGAGTTCCCTACTCCAGGCATTCCCCCGGGGGACTGAGGATGACAGATGCAGGAGGAGGATCAGTGTAGCAAGCGTGCCTCTGCATTGCAGGTCAGTTCAGCTGGTAAATCAAAGCACTGCAGTGCTCGGGGCTGGACTGGGGAAGGTGGGAAGGCTCCGTGGTGACTGGAGTCGAACTGGAACAGAGCCCTCTGTTCCCAGCAATGGGAGGGTGATGCTGGGTTGAACACAGCAGCATTTGTGTGTGGAGCTCCTATGGTCGTGTTCCAGCGCTGCTTCCCGACACAAGCAGAACTGAAGCTGCAGCAGGGCAGGCAGCAGGTAGCAATGCTGTTGGTTACCATGCTGGAATGTGCTTTGCATCCCAAGGGAAATCGCAGCCCTTTCCCCTCTCCGAAATAGAACCTGGAATTACCGTGTTGAGCAAACCATGATTCAGTTTGTATCAGAGCAGAGCCGGGCTGGGGTGGAATAAAGACGGGCTGAGAAACAAGAACTTACCTCCATAACCCAGACCTCTTGTCTCAGAGGTTCAGGATTCCAGAAGCTCTTCCCTGTGAGGGTGCTGAGGCGCTGGCACAGGGTGCCCAGAGAAGCTGTGGCTGCCCCATCCCTGGCAGTGCTCAAGGCCAGGTTGGACACAGGGGCTTGGAGCAAGCTGCTCCAGTGGAAGGGGTCCCTGCCCGTGGCAAGGGTTGGAGCTGGAGGACCTCTGAGGTCCCTTCCAACCCAAACCAGGCTGGGATTCTATGGTTCTATACTTCTCTGTGCCCCTGCATCCTGCATACAAAGCAGTGCCAGCATCACCTGAAGATTTCTCTTTATAGAGATAAATCTGTGTCTTACCATGCTGCATAGTGAAGCACCCTCTGTCATAGAATCATCGAATAGTTTGGGTTGGAAAGGACCTTAAGATCATCCAGTTCCAACCCCCTGCCATGGGCAGGGACACCTCACACTAAACCATGGCACCCAAGGCTCTGTCCAACCTGGCCTTGAACACTGCCAGGGATGGAGCATTCACAGCCTCCCTGGGCAACCCATTCCAGTGCCTCAGCACCCTCACAGGGAAGAGCTTTTTCCTTATCTCCAACCTGAACTTCCCCTGTTTCAGTCTGAACCCATCACCCCTTGTCCTATCACTGCAGTCCCTAATGAAGAGTCCCTCCCCAGCATCCCTATAGCCCCCTTCAGACACTGGAAGCTGCTCTGAGGTCTCCACGCAGCTTCTCTTCTCCAGGCTCAACAGCCCCAATGTTCTCAGCCTGGCTCCATACAGGAGCTGCTCCAGCCCCTGAGCATCCTCGTGGCCTCCTTTTTATGCTGAGGACACCAGAACTGCACACAATGCTCCAGGTGAGGTCTCACGAGGGCAGAATAAAGGGGCAGGATCACCTCCTTCGACCTGCTGGTCACGCTCCTTTTGATGCAGCCCAGGATCCGGTTGCTTTCTGGGCTGCAAGCGCACACTGAAGCTGGCTCATGTTCAGTTGCTCATGGACCAACACCCCCAAGTCGCTCTCCTTGGGCTGCTCTGAATCTCTTCTCTGCCCAACAGACATGAAATGGCTTTTATCCCACTCCCAAATCTTTCCCTTTTATGAATGGGTTTTGGTGTAGAATTTCCTTTTCCCAACGCAGACCCAAGAGCAGTTGCTCCTGCTCTGGTGTAACTTTTGTCTCCTGTAATTGCTTCTCCTTTTTCCATTGTTTGTATAGAAAGGAGTGAATTTCCAGGTGTGGTCGCATTGGGAATGCTGAGAGCAGCTCCTGTAAATCCCACAGCACAGCCATTTGTCTTCTTCACTGAGCTGAATCCTGCAGAATGGGCCAGCTCCACCTTCACCTCTGTGTCCTGGGCAAATGACTGCATTCATTCATCTCTCTGACACCGGGGCCTCCTTCCTGCTTACCATAGGGAATGATGGAGAGGTGGGATGCAGTCTGCAGGCACTGAGTGTGGATAGGAAACAACAACTTGGGATTAACTCGCTCAGTGGAATCATAGTTTGGGTTGGAAGGGACCTTAAAGCTCCTCCAGTCCCAGCCCCTGCCATGTACAGGGACCCCTTCCACTGGAGCAGCTTGCTCCAAGCCCCTGTGTCCAACCTGGCCTTGAGCACTGCCAGGGATGGGGCAGCCCCAGCTTCTCTGGGTAACACGGAGTAAGCATGC